TTTTTGCCACCATTGTGAAGTGAATCACTGCAGTTGTTAACGTGAGTAATGAAGTTGTGAAGGGAATCTGGCTTCCCCATTGATTTGCTGCTCAGAAGGACACAAAAGGGGGTCAGAGAAGCTGGAGATATTGCAATCGTCATAAAATATGAAGCCGGGGGCCAAGCATCTGAATTCTGATCACAGGACCAGGGAGGTGTTGCAATGGTCATAAGTGTGAAAAACAGTTGTAGGTCACTTTTTTCAGTGCCATTGTAACTTCAAATGGTCACTAAACAAACTGTTGTAAGTTGAGGTTGATACCCCTCAGTTAATTCTAGGGTTGTTTTTTGCTTTCTCCCCTTTTTGGTGAAATTTCAGGCCAATTTCTTAGAAAAGTAGCATGTTCTATGTTGACATGATGGTTCTGTTGTTGGAATGGTCAGTTCCTGCATTTAGACCTTTCCTCCTTCCACCTTCAGGTAGTCCTTGACTTACGGCCACTTGTTTAGCAACCGTTTGAAATTACAATATGTAGGAGTTGGGGGGGGAAAGTGATTTACCACTGGTCCTCATACTTATGCTTGTTGCAGCATCCCTGCAAACATGATGCTTGCAATTTAGGCACTTGGCAACAAGCATATGTTTGCAATTGTTGTGACATCCTAGGCCAGTGATGGCTAACCTTTTCAGCACTGAGTGCCCAAAACGCATGCCTGCATCCCCCAAATGCAATGTGCATGTCTCACGTGCATGCGCCCCCCCCCCCCCACATTTACCCCCTCATGCGCCCTGCCCATGCATGCGCAGCAGAGCACCCGAACACCAGCTGGCTGGTGGGAGGTACGTGCGTATGCACGGCGGAGCTGAGCTGGGGCAATGGCTTACACCTGTGGCATGTGTGCCATAGATTCACTATCACACCCTTGGATCACTTGATCCCCATTTGTAATCTTTGCAGTCAACTTCCAACAAACTCAATATGGGAGAAGATAGTGGTTTCACATAATGACTGCACTACTCACTTGGCGACTGCAGAAAAACTGGGCACAGTGACACAACTACTTGATTAATGATTCTATCACTCTACTGTCATCCCAGTGCCAAAAAACAGTTCCCTCAAAATGACGCTATAGAGCACTGCACATCAGAACAACTAGACACAAGGACAGTTTTTTCCCAAAAGCCATCACTCTGATAAACACTGTTCAACTATTTACAAAGTCTGCACTACTATTACTGTTAATCTTCCCATCACTCCTTATCACCCATCTCCTCCCATTTATGACTGTATGACTGTAACTTTGTTGCTTGTATCCTTATCATCTATTTGACTGTTTCCTAGTATGATTTGATTGCTTATCGTACCCTATGACTATTAAGTGTTGTACCTTATGATTCTTGACTCTTGATGAATGTATGTTTTCTGTTATGTATACTGAGAGCATTTGCACCAAGACAAATTCCTTGTGTGTCCAACCACACTTAGCCAATAAAGAATTCTATCTATCTATCCATCTATCTATCGCTTGGCGATGGATGTTCCTGATCCAATTGTGGTCGTAAGTCAAAGAGTATCATTCTACCATTCTACATTATCTGCCCCCCATTTACAACACCTCTTAGCCTTGTGAATGACCTCTGTGAGTTCACGAATTCTGGAGTATGGATCCCAAAGGAAAATAAATAAGATAAAATATAAAATAATCTGAATTCTGCTGGATGAGGCCGATGGATGACTTTGTCCATTATTCTTTTCACACACATTGCGGGCAATCCAGATGCTTTGGAGTGTTTATATTTACTTGCGCTGTTGGAATACTTTCCTTATATATTTTTCAATAAATTTAAAATGAAGGTGTGATGGAGAATTGTATAGGCAGTAATAATGCTATTTTATAAATGCAAAAGGCTGGCTGCTGGTATTATAAATAAACGAGCATTTAATGTGGCAAAACTAATGTAAAGGAAGACATATAGCTTGTGTATAGGAAAATATATACATTGTGGTTAGCTATAGCTGAGGAAACATCTGTTTTAATGAAATTAAAGAATATCAAAGGAAGGAAATATTGCACAGGATAAAAATATTCATATTGATAACTTCCTTATTGTAATAAACTAACATATTCTATTCTATTGATAATAACTGCCCAAATCTTTAAATTAAAAATCTATTAGAAGGGCATCAGAGGAGCAGTCCTTCACAGCTGCCATCCAATGTTACTGTGAATAAATACATATATTTTTGACCTCCGATCATCCACTGTGTTTTGTTGTTGGATTCGCAGCTTGGATACCTATGAAATGTGGGGACAGAAATGTCTGACACTCTGAATCTCAAGAAGAGATTGGACAACCATTTGTCTGAAATGGTATAGGGCCATGATGGCGAATGTATGCCATGCCTGGCGGGCACACCAGCCATCGCCCATTGCTCTTTTGGGTTCTGGTGCACCAGCTGGTCTTCGTGCAGCATGCGCATTAGAAACCAGAAGACCAGAGGGCTGGCATGCATGTGTGCGCCGGGAAGCTAAGCTTCCAGTTTCCAGTGATCCCCTGCGTGCGCATCAGGAAGATGCTCTTCTGGATTCCGGTCAGCGCACACTCTCATTTCAGCACTCAGTGCCAAAAAGGTTTGCCTCCACTGGTATAGGGTTTCCTGTTTAAGCACAGGCTTGGACTAGACCTCCAAGGTTCCTTCCACCTCTGTTCTATGCCTATGCCTATGCCTATGCCTATTCCATTTCTATTCTATTCTATTCTATTCTATTCTATTCTATTCTATTCTATTCTATTCTATTCTATTCTATTCTATTCTATTCTATTCTATTCTATTCCATTCCACTCCAATCCATTCCATCCTATCCCATCCCATCCCACCCTATCCTATCCAGACATGGTATTCAGCAGGTTCTGATCAGTTCTGGAGAACCGGTAGTGGAAATTTTGAGTAGTTCAGAGAACTGGAAAATACCAACTATGACTGGAGATTTTACAGTATCCTTCCCCTGCCATGCCTGCCAGGCCACACCCACAGAACTCGGTAGTAAAAATTCTTGAATCCCACCCTAAATTATCCTATCATATCCTATCCTACCCTATCCTATACTATCCTATCCAATCCATTTCACAGACGATCAGAAACCAAGGTAGGTACTAATTTTGAAAATTAAAGCCAAGGGGACATTAGATTTCTAAACACTGGCATTTAAAAATTAACATCTTTTTGCTATAAGTGGGAAGGAAGAGAGGTAAATGATTTATACCAAGATTTGTTGAAGGAGACTGCTTGGAGCTTATAAGATCAGAGATTAAATTGCAATAAAACTTCAAAAAATTACCTTGGAATTGTGTAATTGAATTCTACCCCAGGAAGAGAAAGTATTAAAAGAAGAAAGTGCTAAATGAAACAGTTTGTACTGACTTTGATTGCTTGATGACTTTGGGACTTTTGTAAACTATCTTTTGAAAGACTAAAAAAACATTTGGATTGTTTAATATTTTTTTTCACAATGGTATCTGTTGAAGAATTGAAAATGGAATTTGAAAAGTTAAAAGAAGAGGAAGAAGAAGGCAAGGGCTCTTTTGGATCTATTTTTCGCTTCTTAGAAATGGTGATTTCTACTTATCAGGAAATGCAACAACAAGAAGGTTGGGATGAAGAAGAAGAAGCCATCTTTAATGGACATATAATTTTAATTGAGGAAGAAAAGGGTAAAAAGGAAAAGAAAATGGAGAATTTAAGTTCTAAAAAAATAACCAAGAAAGGGAAAAATAAGGTGAAAAATCGATATAATGTCAGAAAGCAAGAGAAAAGAGGAATACAACAGAGAGGGGAGACTAAGAGGCTAGAGATTGAGGCGGGGGGATAAAAAGGCTAGACTGGACAAGGAAGGAAGGGAAAAAGTGAAGAGAAGTTATAAAGGCTTAAAACAAGAGGTTAAAAAACAGGTTTTTTTCAGAGACAAAGGGTAAAATATAATCTAAAAAGAGATTCTGCAAAAGTACATAAGATTGTATTGTAGTATTTGTAGTTGAAATAGAGTTAGAAAATTGGAATAACATATGGGAATTATAGGGAATGTGTAAAATGTCTAAGAATTAACTAATAGAGTTTAATTAATTAATTTGTTATGGAACATTGTTTTTACCATATTATAAGCTCATTATGTTTTTTATTTTAAAATGTTATGTAGAATGTACTAAGCAGAATCAGAATGGAAATTATGTATTATTTTAAGTGTTAAATTTGGAGGAAGATAGAAAGGTGTCATACTTCAACCAGTGATTACAGGAAAAAGTTTGTATTAAAGAGAAAAGATAAATAGATAATTGAAAAAGAATGGACAAAAGATACAAGTATAATGATTTAAATTGAGATTAATAAATAAAATAGAATTAAGAGAATGAAAAGAGAGGAGAAGACATATGGAAAATATAGAATGTTAAATAAGATATGAAATAGTATATAAGGTGAGCATGAATTTGATTTATGTCTGTACAAAAAGTTGTAACCCGGGGTTAAGCCGCTTTCTAAAAAGAAGTTTTGTGTTTTTATATTATGTATTTTGTTTGTTTATGTTTGTTTATTGAGAATTAATAATGTTGGATAAGAACATATGAAACAGTAATAATATGAAATATAGTAATATGAAATAGATGAAAGTATAAGTTTAATGAATAAAATTGAACAGAAGTAAAGGAAGAAACAGTGAGAAGTTGGAAAAAGAGTAATAAGATATGAAGTTGAATACATAAGATGCATATTAAATTGTGTTTGTATGGAAATGTGATAATTTAGAACTATGTTGTACTTAAATAAGATGTTTTGTTTGTTTTGTTAAGTAGTTCTTAGAAAAGATGTTCTATGTTCTTACATTTTATGTTCTGTTTGTCTGTGTATTGTCTTTGAAAATTAATAAAATTTGTTTTTTAAAAAAAAGAAATCAAAGTAGCGTCCCAATTTTCTCTCCCCCTACAAATAGGGTCAATTATTATAGATTTTTCCATGCGTACGATTAAGGATCCGGAAGTGGTCCAGTGTTTTCATGATGCCTGAACATACGGGAGATTCTCACTTCTGATGAGAGGTCTTTCCTGATGATCCTGCGAAACAGACATTTTCTGAAATTTGTCTGCATATCTTTGAGGAGAAAGTTATAGAAAAGGGGATCCAAGATGTTGTCCAAGAGGGAAAGGCACAGAGTTGCGTGCTCGTAGATGAAGATAGTTCTCAGTGACTCACAGACCGCTGCTGAAGGTGTCATGACTTCCAACAGGTATCTATAATATGAAATGACCTGGTACGGAGTGAAGAGGAGGAAAAAAACCATAATCAGGAGAGAGACGAAGCCGGAGATTTGCTTTTTGAGTCTCTTCTCCAGAGAAACCACCTGCCTGACTTTGAAGAGAACATTGATGTGGAAAAAAGCCATGAGAAAGAACGGGATGATGAAGGAGAAAGCCACAATACTGACCCGAAACATCGCATAATCAGGATTCAAGGTGGAACTGTCTACACAGGTCTTCCCCCCATGTTCAAAAGTACGGATCTGCAACCCAATGCCAATGGTGCAGAGTGTCAAGACCAGAAGCCAAACCAGGATGCTAATCTTCACAGCACCCAGAACAGTCTGTGTCTGGTGAAACCGTAGTGGGTGCACCAGGCCGAGATACCTCTCCATGGCGATGAGACACAGAAAATTGTTTTTGGCATAGAAGTTTGAGCGGAAAGCCACACCGACTAAGAGACAGGTTGCTTTTCCCAAGTTCCACTCGTGATTGTTGTGGCTGTAATGCATCCAGAAAGGCAGAGTTAAGATCTGCAAGAGATGAGCCACTACCAAATTCATAATATAAACGGAAAGGACCACAGATTTCTTCAACTGGTAGATCAACGCCCCAAACGCCAAGATATTCAGGGGCAGGCCAAATGCTAGTATTACGGAATACATGGGAATTTTGAAAATCTTGGTGGCATTCAGAGGCATAAAAGGACACTCGTTGCTGCTGTTATCCATGGCGCCAACGGAGAAGATGGGTTGGATGTTGTTGAACTTCAGGCTTGTTTGCAGAAGACTTGGGATAGTCTGCCCTTAACACTTCCTTTGACTTGTCTCAGTGAAGACAGATTGCTCACTCTTCAAATCCAAACCACTTTTTCATTATCACAAAGAAACCAGGAAAAAGAAAAATATGACAATAAATTCAGGTTTTCTTTGACCAGCAAATAAATATAGCCTAACACAGCAGCCTTAGGGCTGATTGTGACACATCTCTCTCACACTCTTTCTCTCGGTCTCTTCCCTATCAGTCTCTTTCTCATGTATCTATCTATCCATCCATCCATCCATCCATCCATCCAGGGGTTGGATTCAACTGTGTAACAATTGCTGTAACAACTGTAACACATGCAGCATTTGCAACTCACCTTCTGTTGCAAGCCCTGTGTGTAAAACAGCTGATGTGCAGCAGGCGGGCGGGTGGGTAGGCACAACTGCTGATAGTCTGAGAAAACCAATTGTCTCCCAGCCGATCTTCAGAGCTACCGGTTCTCCCGAACTGGGCCGAAACCAGTAGAATCCCACCCCCATATCTATCTATCTATCTATCTATCTATCTATCTATCTATCTATCTATCTATCTATCTATCTATCTACCTACCCATCCTTCCATCCATCCATCCATCCACCTACCTACCTACCTACTTACCTACACATCCATCCATCCATCCACCCACCCACCCACCCATCCATCCGTCCATCCATCTATCCATCCACTTACCTACCTACCTATCCATCCATCGATCCATCCATCTAGTGGTGTAATTCAGCCAGTTCACACTGGTTTGAACTGATACCCCCTAATTTTTTGGTTGAGCTCCACAAACCAGTTAAACATGTCTGGAAAATCTGTGTTTTCCACAACATGTCTGGTTTTCATTCAACTTCCTTCTAAGCATATGAAAACTGTCTCAGGTGGAGGTTGTGGGGCCTGCACATAAGGCAGCAGCCCAAGGCCAAAGTGCCGGCGGAGTGCCAGAGGGTCAGGGAGGGTGCTTAAATGAGTGGGCATCCTGCCTGCAGCACCCATCCGTGCTGCCCCTTCCCAGCCAGAGATGGAATGCCACCACATTTACATGCCAGTAGATGCCAGCCTTCCCTCCGGCTGGCCTGGGCAACTACTGGAGAGAGATGGCCTTAATCAGCATCTGGCACCAGATGCCTTCACGTCTTCCAAGCATTTCTTTGCCTGCCTGAGTTCCAGCTCCGTCACATTTCTCCGCTGCATTTCTCCATGGCGTTTCTCACCAGCGTGTGCATGGAAACAAACATTTGTGGGATTAAAAAAAAAACATCAATCAATCAATTCCAACTTCTCATTGGAAAAAAAAGATCTCATGAAGTTGGAATTGATTTATCTTTTTTTAAAAAAAAATCCCACAAACTTTTGTTTCCCTGCACACAACAGAGAGAAAAGTGACGGAGAAATGCAATGAAGCTGGAAATCAGGTCGGCAAAGAAATGCTTGGGAGAAGTGAGGACATAGGGGTGGTGGTGAGTGAGGAAAGCTCCATGGTGTGGTGCTGCGCTCCAATGGAGAAACAGGAAATGGAGTCGCCAGAGCGATGGAAGGAGACCACTTTCCCTCTTTCTTCTCCCTGCTCCTCCTCCTTTCCTCATGCCAGCCGCTCCATTTCCTATTTCTCCATTGCAACACAGTGCCCAGGATCCACTTTGATAGTGTGGGGGGTGTAATTTAACAGCCGGTTTGCCCAGGGTCAGGTTGGCCATCGCGGGAGGCTTGTCTCACATGTGTGGTGGAGCTGGAGGATGGGAATTGGTCACGCCTTCCACGACAGCCCACCTGACCCTGGTTGAGCCAGTTGTTAAATTATTTGAATCCCAAGCCTCATTCTGTCTGTCTGTCTGTTTGTCTGTCTGTTTGTCTGTCTGTCTATCTATCCATCCATCCATCCATCATCTATGATCCACCCACCTACCCACCCATCCATCCATGTGCAATTCTGGCTTATATTATGCAAATTTATGTGGCACAGTTGCCCAAAATAAGCCTTGATAGAACTATACGTCATTTATTTATTTAATTTCAATTTTTTTACTTCCCTTCCCTAGGTGTTAAACAGGCTATTTTATGACTTCCTTTTTTCTCACTGTGTACCTGCTTATGCCTAAAAAAAAAAAAACCAAACCTGGGAGCCAACCAATATGCTTCTTTTTCCTGCTACTTATTGAAAGCTACAAAAACCCGCTTAAGACCAGAATAAAGGGTATTTCAACTGGAAATTGAAAGTGAAGCAATATTTTTTTAATTCTTATAATAACAGCTGTTCTGCCTCTCTTTCCCAGTATTCCAAGTTTTATTTCAGCTCCCAACAATACACCTTCAAAATAATAGTGCCTTCTGGGTATCACCCAGCCATCCTTATTTATTTAATCGGGAATGTTTGAAGGTTTCACTTCAGGTCTCCAGTTCTTGTGGGAAATATCCACCCTTAATGTTTATAAGCACATGTACACACACACACACACACACACACACACACACACACACCCTTTGAAAATACATACTATCCTGAAAACAAACCCTAGCCCAGTTTCCATGCCTGCACCTAAAATAAGCCCTTGTTAAGCCCACCATCTGGTTATATAAGATGGGGTGAGGCACAGGCATAAAAATCAAGCTATGGTGGGGGTGGGGGTGGAGCAAGGAAAGCAGATGCAGCAGAGACTCTAACTTGTTTTGTTCCCTCAAACTGTGCTAGAAATAGGTCTTCTCAAAATTCATGGCGCTGGTGCGGTCACTCGTGGAAGCACACCGCGAGGCTCATTGCGCCAGTTCCACATAATATGCTGTAGATGACAGCATCACAAACCTCATGACATCCAACTGAAGTTTTAGGAATACCTCGCACACAAATTCATTCACCCATTTCACCATGAACCACTCTATTCCCAAGTGAGGATGGAGGTAAAGCAGGAAGAAGTTCCAACCGCACCTGCTTGAACATGCTTAGCGAGAGCCAGCAATGCCTTTTGTGGCAGCAGAGGACACAGCCAAAGCACCATTTTCAGCTTCTCTGGGATGCTGAATTTCCCTGAAAAGTGGGGGGGCGAGGAATTAAGACATCCCTCAAAAATAAGGCCTAGAGCTTATTTTGGAAGTCAAAAGAAAATAAGCATGGGTCTTATTTTTGGACTTCATTCCATAATTTCATGAGGTAAACATTAAATTAAAGGTTTGGCTAAATGCTCTGCACATGACATGAAACCAGATTTGAAATTCTCTGCCTTCAAATAGATTCGTTGGCCAATCTGTGTCCCAGGCAATTCTGGTTTGCTCGACAATTGTAGCTAACTTAACTTGTGGTTCAGGAGGCAGCGTGATCAAAATAATTCAGCAATAGAAGTTTTGGTGAAAAGATTTCTCTTTCAGGAAGATAGGAAGTTCAGAAATGTGAAAAATAAATAGATGGATAAATAGATATGTATGTGGGGTGGGGGAGGTGAGAGAGGAAGATAGGGATAGAGAGAGACAGAGAGATCAGGAGAGAGAGAGATGATAGATAGATAGATAGATAGATAGATAGATAGATAGATAGATAGATCATATATGACAGAAGAAAGAAGGATGGGAGATAGGGAGGTAAGGATACATAGAGATCAAAATAGAGATAAAGATAAATGAAGGGGGGAAATAAATAGATATACAGATATAAAGATAGAGACAGACATACAGAGAGACACACAGAAAAAGATATGGAGACTTCCAGTTTGAAGGGCTTCAGCAACAGGCAGGAATCCGCGATCGTGCATGGTTTCTGCTTGGGCTCGCCGCTGGAGTGCCCCGAGCCAGTTGGTTTTGGGGCTAAGCCACCCCGTAGAGGTGGTGAAGAGGGGGGAGACCTCTAGCAGGGTTGAGGAGAGCCGCATCTCTCCTCCTCAGCTGGCCATTACTCCTTTTCCCGAAGGCGATAGGAGCGGTGGTCAGAAATGGCCACCTCAAAGAAGAACTCAACTGGAAAAGAACGTGCAGGAGGAAGATAAGAAGTGAAAGTGAAAGGCTGACTAGCCCAGTGAAAGGCTGACTGGGCTAAGTTGAAAAGGCAATAACTAAGGTACCCTGGAATTTAAATTTTACAAGAAATAACATTGCTCCCAAAGAAGAGTCGGAAGCAGTGAAAGAAAGTGAAAAGGGAAAGGTTTGCCTTTTTTTTTTTCCTTCTCTCTCCTTCCTTATATTGACAACTAAGTATAAGAAATTGGAAAAATCCACTTTGGCATCAATAGGCAATTAAGCTGAAAATATAACTAAATGCCAAAGGGACAATAAAGATTTCTGGACATTAAAAACTTTTTCTTCTATAAGCAGGAAGGGAGAGAAAAAGAATAAGGGCAGGATCTGGAAGAGGAAGGAGACTGCCTGGACTTTAAAAGAATCCAAAGTAAAATTTCAATAAGACTTCTAAAAGATACATTTTAACGGAAACTTTGCAACTAAATAGTAACCCCAGGAAGAGAAGGGGGGGGGGTGGAAGAGCAAAAAGAAACAGCTTGTGTGTATTTGGATTACTTGGTGACTTTTGGATTTTGTGTTATTATATTTTATTATGATATATTATATTATATTATAAAATCAATCAGGTGGTTGTTTAAAAATTTATACAATGGCACTACTTCTGGATGAATTGAAAATGGAACTTAAAAAGTACAAAGAAGATGCACAAGAAGGGAAGGGTTCTTTTGGCTTCGTTTTTCAATTCTTAGAAATGGAGATTTGGAACTATGAGAAACAACAAGAAAAGACTGCAAAACAAGAAGACTGGGACAAAGAAGAAGCCATCTTTAATGAAGAAGTAACTCTATGTGGGGAAGAAAAAGGAAAGTGGGGGGGAAAGAGGATGGAGAATTTAAGACTTAAAAAAACAACCAAAGAAGAGAAAAATAATTCAAACAATAAGTATAATACTGGAAAGCAACAGAATAGGGGAATACAGAAG